AAGCTCCAAGACCGGAGTTTCATCACCTTCGTGCTCGAACCGCTGATTCTCGAACGATCTTTGATTGCTAACTGGACGATCATCGTGTGGGATTTCCAAGGCCATCAGTTGGCGTTCCAAGTCCTGAACGTGCTCGGCTAGTACTCGGTCGGCTTCTGGAATTCGAATTTCCGGCGGAGCTTCCAGATTTTCCGGCGGCGGAAAATTGGCCTCACCCCGCGCTCGATTTGGATCTGCTGTAGTTTCCCTAGGACGTTGCCTCCCGCCTTGACCTAGGTCGTCCACTCTTTGATTGAGATTGTCGAATTTAGCCGACAATTCCTTAAATTTTTCGTCCTGTCTTTTCATCTGGGTCTGGAACATGGCAACTACCTGTTCTTGGAAGAATTGCTGCAGTTCAAGCATGGTAATGGCGCGGCCTTCCCTCATTGCGCCTCCTTCCTCGTTGTTGGCCGTCGAGGTAAGGATTTCGGGTGGTTGCAGGGATGATTCCGCCGAAGCACTCTACTCATATCTTATCTTTAGAATTTCCTTACTTATATTCTTAATCCATACAACACTAAGGATCACCGCGTTACATCTCGTCGTCCGGTGTCCCTACCCTAGTATGCCAACCGCGTTACGTCTCGTCGTCCGGTTGCATACCCAAACTCGGCAATGGCACTGCGTTACGTCTCGCCGTCCAGTCCATGCCCGGTCAACTACTGCGTTACGTCTCGCCGTCTAGTAGTGATCCAACCGCCCGGGGGTTCATCTTACCATTAATCAACTTTTACAATCATACATTCATACATAGCACAACGCGTGCCTCCACCCTTAAGTAGGTGGTGGGATGCCTCACACACATAATCGCACATACTAGAAAAAATTAACTAGATAATAACTTGAAATGAAAGGCATAACTGAAAGACATCGACGGAGATTTTACCCCTTTTACACTCACTCGAAAAGATGACTCCTCGTTTCCTTCCTCGAAGAAACCCCTCCTTAGCCGCATTATCTTAGGGAAACCTATTAATGAGAATCCATTTTCTTAGATGATATTTCTCGGTTTAAAACCCCTTTTGAATCACTAGAACATCATCTCCTCAAAATCCAGCCCTCGAGTCTCACTCCAAAGGTCCCTTAACCCCCTTTAAAAATTTTCTAGAAATAATCCCTTCAAAACCGACCATTTTTCTAATTATTTTGTCTTGGACGAATTTTTCACCTAACTTGAACCTTCTTAAAAATTATGATAAAAATTTTCCTATGTCAATCATGAGCACCTATACCCTGTAAAATTATCAAACTCTTAAAATCTCCTTGGTAAGATTTTTATTTAAATAAAATAAACATTCGAACAATTTCTAAAAATAGAAATACATCTTCAAAATTACCCAAATTAAATTAAAGCCATCTCCTAGGCCTCTCTAAATTTATAAAATTGTTAAACCTAGGAACAAATACCCAAAGAGGCTCGAAAAAATATAAAACATCCACAATAAGTTTCTGCAAATTCCAAGCACCTTTAGTGACTAACCAAAATCTGTCACTAAAAGCCTGTAACGTCTGTTGCTAAAAACCCAGAATTGCACTCTCACGAAAAATTACCAAATCGATCGATCTAACTCAAAGGGATCGAGTTCCCTTACCTCTAAAACGTGGGGAAAAATCCAAAACTACCACTATAAAAAAAATTACAAAAATACCACCCATATTCAACAATTTCCAAAAATATCACCCTTCCACACAAAACGCACCTCGAAGGCGCGGCTATAAACTAAAACGGGCCTCGAAGGCGTGGTTTGACCCTTCCTGGCTGTCAAACCGTGTTGCCACGTGGCCGTTCATGCGACCGCGCGATGGGGGAGCGATCTGACAGCCAAACCGTGCGCCAGCTCAGCGATCAGCGTCGCTCAGTCAAACCGCTAACCCAAAGCGCGGTTTGACTGTTGGGGAACGTAAACCGCGCGCTAGAGGCGCGGTTTTAGGAGGGGTAAAAGGATGAAACCGCCTCTCCAGCACGCGGTTTCGTCCCTATATAAACCCCCTTCCCCCTCCCATTTTCACCACACCAAACCTCTTTCCCCCCCCCCCCCCCTCTCTAACTTCTCACTCTACCCACCCCCCTCCCCACCCAAAAACCATAGAATTAGTTGTTTTGTTGGTTGCGGCTAAGTCCAATCTGCCTTCAAAAAATTTTTTCTTTGGTTTTCACTAAAAACCCGTCGAATCTATGTTCGGATTCTGAAAAAATGGCCGATTTTATCCAAGAAGAGGGTATTTACTATGATGATTATCAAGCGGTACGTACTCATTTTACCTAATTGTTGTTGTTATAATGATTTATTTAATTTATATACTAATTGATTTATGTTGTTATGCTATCGTAGGTTGGGCCGGATGTTGATATATACACTCAACGATATTATGTTGATCAAGGACCGATTGATCCGACTATTTTATACGATCAAGTCAATCATCGTTCAAGAGACGTTTTGAACATTTATCATCACTTGTATTTGTATTTTGTTAAAGTAATTTATTTGGTTGTACAATAATTTACTTAATTGTTAATCGTATTGATTATTTTCAATAATTTAAATCAATACAATACAACACTTATTTAGACTCTTCATAAAGAAATGCATGTCTAAAGAAATTGGGACTTAAGCGATCATCATGATCCCCCCATGACCTGAAAAATCGGGTTCTAAGCGATCCTCGGATCCCCCCTTTTTCTGTCAAAAAGACTGTGTTTCTAAGGAGATGTATACCTCTCCTAAGAGTCTTACGAATGTACTTGTATTGCTTTAAATTATTTAAAATAATCAATACGATTAACAAAATAATATATTTGATTTTATGTGTATGTGTACAAAAAATAATTATACTTAAATTTTGAAAATTATTTTAATTATGTTAAATTTAATGTTTATTAGATAATGTATATTTCTCTAAAACAACCTTGATTTAATTAATATTGCATCTTATAATATATATATATATATGGCGAGTTCTACGGTACCCCGAGTGAAATCCGGTGTACCGCATACCTTGAGTATGAAAACGCTATCCAGACCTTGAATTGATTGATCTTTTGGACTTGATATTATACTCTAACCCTTAAAGATCAAAATCTAGGTCTTAGCTCCCTAAATCTTATACTCCAATATCAATTTAATTAGAAATAATAATCGACGGCTATGATTCGTCCAAATATAGGCAAAAAAATGAATGCTCCGTCTTAGGGTTTATAGTTTATGATTTAGATAATTAGGACCTAGGGTTCACTCAATAAGGATTAGGGTATAGTACCAAGCCCAAAGTTTTTTCTATTTCGAGGCCTAGATAGTGTTTTCATACTCAAGGTATACGGTACCCTGAATTTCACCCGGGGTACCATAGAAGCCACCATATATATATATATAAAATCATCAACTTATAGTGAAAGTTAAATTCTTCTCTAGGATGCATACCATATAGTCCGCTATAGGGGCACGACGAATGTGCTTGAATGGAACAACGTCATCTTGCCCTTTCTAAAAAGGGCAAGATTGGATTCGATTAGGCATTTTAATGGAATCAAGATCGACCGCCAACTCATCACAACATTGGTAGAGAGATGGCAAAAGGAGACACACTGCTTCAATTTTTGTGAAGGCGAGTGCACCATCACACTTAAGGACATCGCCATCCTAACCGATTTGCCCATCGATGGTGATGTTATTTGTGTGGACTCTACGCCACCACCTAAAGTTGTTGCCAATATGAGTGGTTGACAGCATTTTATATGGACGGTCACCGGGTTGTGTCCGCCAGAAAAGGGAAATCACGATGCGGATGGTCATCCACCATAGTCCAAGGGCCAAGTATTCATCACGTGGTTGACAGCGGAGATCAGGCGTAAGCACAACCCTGAGTTCGGAGGCATTCCCCTCACGGAGGAAAGTTCGGAGCATGATAAAGACATTTATGCACGTATCTACATCCTCGGCATGATCGGAGGAGTTTTCTTCCCCAAGAAATCCAACAATTTAATCAGCAATTCATGGTTGAAGATCATACTTGGGAGTTGGGATGATATGGGAAACCTTAGCTGGGCATTTGCTTGCCTTGCTCATCTCTACCAATCCCTCTGTAATGCTAGTGCGAGAGCGGTGAAGGAGATTGATGGGGCCATATTCATCGTCCAATTTTGGGCTTGGGAGCATTTGTCATGGATTGCGCCGAAGGTAGACCCCGACAAGGAATGGGGACCCGACCATCCCCTACGACATGAAGCTTATGGTTGTAGGTAAATATTTTCTATCCCACTCATAGTTCTCACCTTTTTTTACTAATTGGGTATTTTGTAACGAACCAGCTATTATGTATTAACATGATGTACTTTTTGGATTGAATAGGTGGCTTGGTGAAAAAACATGCGACAACCTAGGAGCGCATAAGTTGGAGGAGTATCGTAGGAGGCTTGATCGCCTTTGGGAAGCAGAGGTGAGCATCATAATACACTATTACTTCCTACTTTTTTTTCAACTTATATTATTATGTTTCTTAATGGTCTATTTTTATGCACCTTCGTAGCTTAAGTTCGATCCGTATACAGAACGCATTGTCACGCATCACGTCCACAAGTTCCCGTTGCATCCCGGTCAATGGTGCACCCGAGTTCCACTAATCTGCCACCATATAGTGGAGTGACACTTGCTGGATCGATATCTACGACAATTTGGACGTGAGCAATGCCTACCATTGGATGTCCCGGAGAGTCAGAGGGGGTACCACGGGAAAGATGGTCGACAAGGAGCTACAAATTGGTCGGAGGAGTATGTAGAATTGATCACTCTGGTGGAACGTTAGGCAAGATCAGGATATGACCCAATGGCCGACTGCCGATGGCCTTGGGATTTTATTGATGACACACATGTGTGTGTGTGTGTGTGTGTGTGTGTGTGTTCACCGCACGGGATATGACCCAATGGCCGACTCTCTTGCTCTTGATGGCCCGGACCCTAGCTTTGCATCCCTCATTTTCATTTTTGCATCAAACCATCAGCCTCTTTGTGTCGGAATGGGTTGTTTGCCATTCAAAACTCCGAGTCATTGCTTCAGTGGCAATAGCGTGTCGGACCTCATTCTTAGTTGCATATTGTTGGCCCTTCGTAAAGCCAGTGAGTGGACCCCATACTGGCACCTCTGGCGGGTCCATGTCGGCATCAACATACCAATCTTCATTTTGAATGTGATTGTAGTACAGGATAGGTACACAGTCGCGAGGTACCTCATCACTGTCTGCGTCTGAATCTGGACCGGAATCATCAGCACCTTCCAGAGGATCGAAGTTGTCTGCACTAACATCACCTTCCTCTTCTTCAACCTCAGGGTCACCAACTGGACTTGGATTGACCTCTTCTTCCATCTGATTATCATCATGAAAGGCACCTTCACCTTCACCAGCTCCGTAATGGTAGTTGTGGTAACTAACACCGCTTTGGTAGAAGTTGTACTCGGGTGGGTACTGGTAGCCTGCTTATTGGTTATGATCCGCCTGTTGAGCTTCTTCTTCATATGAAGGGAAGGATTGATGATGACCTCCAGTTCCATCATGATACTCCTGCCTCCAGCTCGAGTCTTGGTACTCCTAGTGGGGATGATCTTCGTATAATACACTCCCGCCGTGGATACCAGATGTTTGGCCATCTCCAGAATGACCTACACTGCCTTCGACGGCCTCGGTGTAAACGAACATCTCTGCTTGCTTAATTTTATTGGTGGTCAAAAATTTAACCATGGCATCAACGTCCTCCTGAGTGGTAAGGAGGAATTCCTCATTCCACAGCAACTTGTCATGTCTGTTTGGATATCGATACACCATTTGATCAACTCTTCAAGTGCCATCCATGCAGGTAATCTGAGTGCACATTTGATGGAGCTCTTCAAGCATCGGTCTCGTACGGACCATCATTTTATAAAAATTGCCACCGATGTAACTTACACCCTTTTCGGTCTCTTCCGTGTAACCATTCCACCGCAACCCAAGCGTGAACCTTTGGAATGCCATCTGCAATAAAACTGTAATTAAGTTACTAACATAAAATCACAAAGGACAATGAAAAGTAATACAAAACAAACTTACGAATTACCGTTAATCGCAAAAACTAAATAATTTAAAGGTGAACAACTGAAATTTGAAGAAGTAGGAGGAGTGTGAAGGATTTGAGTTCTCTGAAACGGCCTTTTATATGCGAATTTTGCAGCACAAACCGCGGGTGGGGGGGGGGGGAGGGGGGGAGCGGTTTTAGGTCTGCCATGCAGCCCCACCCCCTGCATGCCGACATGTTTGATGTCGGGTGACCGGGCACAAACCGCGCCTTGGGCCAGCGGTTTATGTCTGCACATGGTAAACCGCCTCCTGGTGGGGCGGTTTATCAAGCCGACATTTAAACGCTTCCTCATGAAGCGTTTTGTGGTAGGGTTAGTATATAAACTGCGCCTTCGAGGAGCGGTTTTACCTGAAATTAAAAACCGCATGTTGGCAAAGGCGGTTATGATGTAAACTGCTGCCTGGTGGCGCGGTTTATATATTAACCGCCTATTAGAGGCGCGGTTTTTAATAAACGGTGGTATTGTTGGAAATTGTTAAGAATGAGTGGTATTTTTGTAAAAAAAAAATTTAATTGTTGAAGTTTTGGATTTTTTTCATAAAGCGTGCCTAGGACTAGATTGGATGGCCCGGGACGTTGATCTCCTAGTTGATAGATGATCAAACCCTCAAACGTCACCTCTAATAAAATACTAGTTTCGGATTAGACTATCGATGAATCGAGTTTAGAAATCGCGAAGGGGTTCGTGATCCTTACCTAGAAACACGAAGGGGATGGGATCGGGGTCGGAAAATCAGGGTCGGGAAATCGGGGTCAGGCACAAGTGGCGGCGGGCTCCTTCTTTTCCCCTCACGCGGGGGAAATTCGCCTCGCGCTGGGGGATGAAAATTGTGGCGGCGGTGGGGTTTTCTGGGGATGGGGTGGGGGTCTGGGGAATTATTATATGGGGGAGTGGAGGCGCCCGGCCTCCTTACGCCACCCCACAGTTTTTTTATAAATTAATAATAATTATATAATAATAATCATAATTATCATTATTCATAATCGGTGGTTGCAATTCTTAGTACGTAACCGTCAATCCAACCGATCATTTATTATGGTTGAACCCAAATCTAAAAATACCGGGGTGTTACACTCGTCTTTAAGCCCATGGATTTGCACATTGTTTTGGATCATTGTGACGAGGCTGGGCTTGATCTCGAAATTGTAGGCGGCCACGGGTGGATGCACAATGGTCGGTTGGATATCCGCCGCTCGTGGAGCCGTATATTAGCCCCTGGTCCTCGGTTCTCAGCTCCCTCTTGAGAATTTTGATTAGCCGCCATCTAGGTTTCACTTCCTCCCTCTTCCTCCAATTCAAGCTCTTCCCCAACCACAACTTGTTCAACTTTGAGACCAACTTGCAGTTGTCCCCTCTCCTCAACCCTTCTCCTTTCTTCTGCCAGCTCCCTCTCAAGAGCCAAGAGTCGGAGAGTCCAGTTGATTCTTGTCTAGTGGCGCCAAAGGTGACGGATCAATATAGTAAAGCTAAAGCGATTGGAAAAGTGAATGGTTTGAACACTAATTGAGAAGGCTTCAACCGGGTGTTGCTCCCCTAGCTAGTAATCATGACTTGTCGGATCGAATGCAAATGTGTGATAAAGGCGGTTGTAAACCAAAGGGAATCGCTACAAGTGAACAAGTGTCACTCTCTTGGTCACTATGCCAAGGGATTTCGAATCAAGCAACCAAGGTAGCTCTCTTGGCCAATTGACTAAGGGTTGCTTGGGCTTCTCCCTCAAACCATAGTCTAGACAGACAATACACAACCTACCCAAGTTGCTAATACGTATTAATAGGTTTGCCCTAATTCAACCTAAGTAGGTGACACAATTTGGCCAAGCAATTCCAGCTTTTACAAGCCTCTTAGCAAGAAGGGGATTTCCCTCTACCTAGGTCAAAATGGCATAAGAGTTGGAAATGTAAAAACACAACATAACCTTCATGAAAATACCTAATAACTTGTATTAGAACACAACCACACAACAACCATTCAATCCATACAAACATTCACATAATTATAGCTAGGGTTTACAAACACCCAAGTGAAAGAAATGACTACCCCATGCTAAGTAGAGAGAATACATAAATGAGAAGTGAGAAAACCATCTTGATGATGTTTGCCTTCTTCCTTGCGGTGTGGAGATCAACCTTGGAGGAAAAAAAATTCAAAACTTTGCTCTTGGATGAAAGTGAAACCCTAATTTCTCCTCCTTCTCTTGTTCGTCACTTTCTCACTCTACAAATCTTAAGAAGAAGAAGTCTCTCACTAGGTTCTCTCCCTTTTTCTTTCAGCTCATCCCTTCTTATATACTTAGATCGACGGCATTTCACGGTCGTGAATATTGAGGTTGGACTGTGATGTCAAGCAAAAGCGCATTGTTTCACTTAGGTGCTTCACGGTATCTGGAGCAGGTTTTCACGATCGGATGACCATGAAATATTGAACGCCCGCAAGGCGTGCATAACCCTCTTGGACTCCATGCGCTTCACGGTCTGTGCCACTTATTCACGATCTGGCTGACCGTGATCTTCTGGTCTCCACCGTGAACTGTTGTTGTTTGCTCCCTTTTGATCGGTTTTCGCCCATTTTCGTCCAACGTTCGTTCCATGGGTTGATTTCAACTGCTAGAATCTGAAACATACTAAAAATAACCACAACTTAGCGTAAAATCGAATCTCACAGAGTAAAATTGCCTCACACATCTAAAAAAATGGGGCAAAAAATGTATAATTAAACCAGAATCACAAGGCATCAGATGATACAGTCACGGTGTTAGCACCACTGATCATCATCATGCATGTTACTCTAGGCTCCGCTAGCAACCTTGCTAACCCTGGCTGCAAGCTTGTGGGCAAGACAAAAGCCCCTGAGTAGCTTTTGTAATATTTCTTTTTTAATTCCATCTGTCCAAATGCTTGGGTCCTTAGGTTGATCCACTATAGAAAGAAAATGAAAAGAACTATGTTGATTCACCCAAAAAAATTTCTTTTTCTCCACTAAGCACGAATAAGTATTTCTTTTTGTAAAAACATAAGTAATAAACATTTTCATAGTTGCTTCACCAAAAAAAATTCTTCCTTCACTTTTTCTTCATTTACAAAAACTATTCCAAAATTCATTTGATCCTGGGATTCTTTTTCTTTATAGTTGAGCTTTTTTTTTTTTTTGGCAAAGTCAGAGTATTAATCAAAAGTCACAAACCGGAAGAAAGAAAAGTGCGGGAGTCGATCAATAGTCGAACTCCCGATGAGAGGGCCTTTTGTGCCACATGATGGGTAGCCCTATTAAGTTAACGAGAAACAAAACGGAAAGAAACACTGTGGAAAGAAGATGCCAAGCTCCTAACGTCCTCCAAAATAGCGCCACCTCGAACATGATGCATATCACCTCCAATCATCCGGCAGATCAAGAGTTGAGAGTCCCCATGAAAACAAACAACAAGAAAGGAATGAGTTAGACACCACTGTACAGCATCCCGTAGAGCTAAACATTCCATGAGAAAAGGGTCCTGAATCCCATCATAAAATTTTCCAAAAGCAAACAGAACATTACCTGTCGTATGGTAGCCGACAAAGCCAATACTACCTTCTTGACCACACTTGGTAGCACCATCAAACCAGACATTGATAAAAGCTGAGGAACCAGGAGTCGTAGGTGTGATACTGGGAGCACGTGAAGGACCTGGAGCTGCAGAAACAGTACCACCGAGTGGCTGAATCGAAGGGTTGGGCCCTAACGTCCTCCACTCATCTACTTGCCGTTGAAACTGCCGAAACAGAGCCGATGGGAGATATTGAATGCCTTCATGGACCGCCCAACACCTCCCCTTCCAAATCCGCCAGAGAATGAAAACAATATTAGCTATCTCAATTTTCGAAAGATTCATAGAAAAGAAAAGATGACGCCAGGCCTCATCAGGACTCATTCCTCCAAGAGTAATGTTCAAACCTTCAAGGTCCGTCAGTCTCCACAGCCCTTGAGCTACCCTGCATGTAAAGAAAAAATGGGAAAAGGATTCTAGTTCCCCGGAACATATAGGACAGATCGTGTCAGACACAAGAGTTTTAGTAAACAAAACTATCTGCAAGGGCAAGAAGCCGCGGACAGGTCGCCAAAAAAAGAACTTTAGCTTTGGAGGAACAGGAATACTCCAAAGAAATTTCCAAAAACGAGTGTCAAAAGGGAGGACCACTGGAGGATGATGAAGATCGTACTCAGAAGACAAAAGATGATAACCTGTCTTAACAGTGTAAAGACCAGAGGAAGAATAATGTCATATCAAACGATCAGTCGAAACAGAAGTAGGGAGAGGTATAGACAAAATGAGATCAACACTCTCTAGAGTGAACAGAGAAAGTAAGAGATCCTTCTTCCACGAGTGAGAAGTAGGGCAAATGAGATCTGAGCTTATTTGCAAAAACTAATTCAAAATTCACTCGATCCTAAAATTCTTTTTCTTTGTAGTTGAGTTTTTTACTTATAATTTCTTTGTAGTTGAGCTTTTTTACTTCCTAAAATTCTTTTTCTTTGTAGTTGAGTTTTTTACTTAGAATTTCTTTGTAGTTGAGCTTTTTTACTTCCTGAAGTGTGTTAATTGACTTACGGAATTTGGTTCAATTAGGCGAGACTATACTTGAGAATCAGTTTGCGACTGACTGATATTAACCAAGTTTCCGGCGAATAGAGTGCCGGAGGGAAGCTTCTATCCGACCGACGGTGAAGTATGTTAATTGACTAATTGACTTTTGAGATTATCACAAACCGGGAATTTAGTTCAGAGACCAAGAATGGGCAGGGTGAGACCAAGACTGAAGAAGCTCTCATTTATAGAAATCACAACTCACAAGCACCATAAAAGCGACTAAGCGAGACAGGAAAGTTAAAACGGAAAAGGGGAAAAGATAGTCCACATATAAAAAGTATTGAGTTCGACAACAGAAACGTCCCAAAAGCTACTAAGGGGCTCCTAAAGATTATTCCTTAACAGCAAAACACCCAAGGGGACTGCATAGCTACTGACGCAACTCGGGGCGGACGAAGTCTGCATCTGCAGTCACAGAAATGTCGAGGGTTGGTCTTAGCTGGGCACAGACTTCAACAGCTCCATGGACCGGGTCAGAGAGGAAGTTGCTGATGAGGTCCCTGTTCACAGAAGCCCCAGCAGCATCCACAGCTACGAAGGCCTGTTGTGTGAGGATGTAATCGAATCGCGGGGCCCATTTTCTTGATCCCAGACGTGCTGTGGTGGAGCAGTTATCAACCATAAAGGAAACTCCGCGAGCATGCATGAAAGGGTTCAGGGAATCCACGGCCTCGATCAGACTTTCATTAATGATCTCAGAATAAGAATGACCCTTCTTCCTCAACACCTCAATCTGAAATTTTCAAAAGACAGATGTTGGATAAAAAGGGGTTCAGAAAATCCAACAAAGTTCGAACTTCAAATTGGTACGATTGAATCCAATGTGGTTCAAGTTGTTATCCTAACTTAGAATTTGTGAATGAAAGCCAGATCAAACATGAAACAATACTATTATGGATGTACCTGAGCCATCATCAATGCCACGAAAACACCAGCAGTGAAAGGATGCATTGGTCCCAAGTCTCCCTTTGGCCGTGTTGAACGAACACGCTCCCCCACCTTCCACATCCGAGTTTGATCGATCTTGCCCATTGGGAAAGCTGGGAGGCCTTCCTTCTCCTTTTAAACAGTTGAACAGATGGAAAGAGGAAGTTCACTACAGAGTGATAATATATATCAAGATGACAAGATTAAGCACAGCTGTATGAAGCTTTACATAGAATCGACGCCCAGCCAAAACAACGCTACGGATCTCACTGCCACTGGCTACATCCTCATAGCACTCGTACAATATATCCATGCAAGGGTAGTAGGAGGAGCTATAAGCAAGCTCAAACTCCTTCTTCTCATCTTCAGACAAGGAGTTGTAAACTGACAACATGCCCTGCCGAATGAAGACAAGACACCACGACAAAATGAGAACCACAAACAAAGTATTGTTGTACAGGAGCACAGAAAAGAGAAAGCACAAGCATGTCATATTAGAGAGCTCACAGAGTAATACCAACCTTTGTTGAGATGGTCCTTGACACAATACCAGTTATGCACTCAACAGTGTTCTTGTACGCCGAATCCTCATCCATTCCATTTTCTGTGTATCTTCTAAACAAGCATTCAACAGCACCATGAACAGCACCAAGCAGTATACCTACAAGGCCACAGCAAAGAACAATGAGGCACTTAGCAGACAAGGTTCTAGCAACAGATTGATGCAATCAATTGAAGCGAGAAACTTACCGCGCTCCCCAAAAATATCACTCTTATACTCCTGCTCCAATGTGGTGGCAAAAGTGAAAGGAGAGCCAAGAGCAACGGACCAACCCAAGGCAACATCTGTTGCTCTACCATCAACATCCTGTGTCAGAGATAATAAAAATCTGTTCAACAACTGAAAAAGATTAGGAGAAGCAAATTTAAACAGACGCCATCACGAAAATGAGAAGATACCTGGTGAACAGCAAAACTGGAGTTGATACCGGCTCCATTTATCTCTTTCCCCTGCACGTAGAGTCTCCTCACAGAAGGACCCATGCCTTTAGGGCAAACAGCAATAACACTGATATTTTTAGGGAAATCAATACCCAAACTCTGCAGATGCCCCAAGAGAAAACCATGGGAAAGACCAAGGATGCTGTTTGGCTTCATATGAGAGAAGATCTTCTCAAAGTTATCAGCCTGCAAGGAGAAAGTTACAAAGAGTGTCAGCGCTCTCGCTTGACTGGAATGAACCTCAACATGTAACCTTTAGAGGGCCCATGGAGAAGTAACGAACCTGGGCTGAATCTGAAATCAGCAGCATGACAAGATCGCTTCCAGAGATGGTTTCCCACATGTCTCCTAGAGTTCCATCCTCTTCAGAGAATCCAGCAGCACGAGCCTCAGCAAAAGAGCGAGAACCCTTCCTCAGACCAATCTGCAATGGGGATACAAACGCACATCAAGCTAAAGAAACAGCTGTACAGCTCATCGAACACTTAAAAATCAACGAAAGTAAAGCACCGACCTTAACAACAATATCAGATTTGGCCTCTGCAAGAGAATCCTTCAGGTTCTGAGCTTGAGCAGGGGCCTGAGACCGAACAAAAATGGGTTATCATTTGACTTATAGTCGAAACGCCGCTAAAAGAAAAGCAGCAATAAGGACAATACAGAAGTAAGTTGATGAAACCAGATGAGAACCTGAGATCCCCATCCAATAACTCCAATCTGTTTGATTCCCTTGAAAGCATCGGGCAATAGGGGGAACAAATCCCTCCCTCCTCTCACAATGTACTACAAAATAACATGATAAAATTAGAACAACTTCAAATGACAAAGTATGGACAGAGACAAGAGAAAAATGTCCAAAATCGTTACTGCCCACCTCATCATGGCCGGCGAGAGTGACCTTCTCCTTCTTGAAAACAGATGTCTGGAAATCAAGAGATATCGTGGGAGCGACGGGAGGAGCCGACACCATGGTGACCGAAAGCGACGATCTTCCATTGGGGCAAGGCCGGGCGGCAATCCGAGAGATTAGGGGCTTCAGCGACCGAGATGAAGAGGATAGGAACCCGAGGGAGCTTGACACCGGAGCCTTAGGTTTTAGAGAAGAGGACGGCGTCGAAACGGAAGGAGTGAGAGACGCGGCGGATGAGGCGGCGGTGGCGGCCATTGTGAGAAACAGAAGGGGGGAACGGCTGAGAGTAGGTGGCGAGCTGATACAAATAATGGAAGGCAGGAAATGCAGGAACTAGGGTTTACGGCGAAGGAGAGGGGTTATCAATTCTTCCTACCCACATTTTTTAATAGGCACGTGGTCACCTACCCAAACAGACGAAAGTCACGTGCTCACTGCTTAGTCTTGGAAATGAATTACGAACCAATGTTATTAATGGTTCAAGTTTAATATAGATTATCTAGTGTCTGATTTGAGTCCAATTATACACATTTTATCTCTTATTATTTGTTAGTTTTGCTTGGTTAATTATGGTCCCTCGACCTATTTTACGCTAGGTTGTGCTCGTTTTGTTACATTTCACATCTTAGCACGTGCGGGAAGGTCGAGGACGAGTTTCAGGTCGATTAGATGTCGTAAAAGCGTCAAAAAGTGAATAAAAGTCCAAAGTCACGGTTTGGACCCAATTGTAACAATCGCATGACCGTGACAATTGCCCGAAGACCGTGAAGCGCAATAGAAACAGAAGGTTTTGGACGCCTCACTGGACCTCGACCAGTTCAGGCTTATAGTTCACGGCCGTGAACTGAGACTATGAATAGTCATCGATCTGGGTATAAAAGGGGAAGTGAGTTGAAGGAGAATGAGAGCTTTTTTCTACGATTTTAGTTTTCAGAATAAAAGAGGGTTTCTAGTGAGAGATTAGGGTTTCCTCTTCCTATTCTAGAGAGACAAAGTGCCATTCAAAGGAGGAAGAAGGAGATTTGGGCTTGTCCTAACTAGAGGAGTGAAGATTCTTACCTCTCAAGGGAGATTCAAGCAAAAAGAAAGGAAGATTGCCATCTCTTCATGGTCTCTTTCTCTCATTTTTCTTGTTTTCCATTGTATAGCTATGGAATAGCCTCCCTACTCACTTGGGTATTGAGAATCCTAGTCTTGAATCTCTAGATGTATATTATGATGTAAGAACTTGATTCTATTGTGTTGATTGAATGTTTATGTAATATTTTAGGTATTTTTTTATGAATGATTGAATGTGCTAGCTTTAACTCATGATTGTGTCATTTTGGCCTAGGTGGAGAGAATCTCCTTGTTGAAAGAGGTTTTGAGAAGTTGGATTCTTGGCCAATTTGTGTCACACACCTAAGCTAATTAGGAAAAACCTTAAATTAATCATGATTAGTGAGCGTTGCTTACATTATATCATTATTGGGTCAAACTTAACCTAGAGGGTGGAAATCCCCATTTGGCACATAGGGAGATTGACCTCCTAACCTCTTGGCTAGGGATGGCAATTTCGACCTGACCCGATTTACCCGACCTGTTTGACCTGTTTTGGGGCAGGGCGGGCATGGGTACCTCTCATCGACCCGACCTGCCCTGGCCTGCCCCATTCTCGACCCGTTCTTACCTATATTACATATAATATTAGTCAAATTACTTAGGATTTTCCTCTTATTACATTATATTTTAGCTATAATAAAGATGTAAATAAGTGAAAACCTCAATTTCTTCAATAATTTAACTACATTTTATCATATTATAGTTTCTTTCTTGGTCTTTTAATGAAAATAACGAATGTTTCTAATGTTTTTCGCATAAATTACAGACCCAATGGGTCGACCTGCCCCGACCCGCGCCCCTTGATAAATTACCCGACCTGGACCCGACCTGCCATGGGGCGGGTATGGGTATCGAGATACCCGCCCTGGACCTGCCCCATTGCCATTCCTACTCTTGGCTAACCCCTTTTAGGTTAATCTAGGGTCAAAACCTCAAGTATCGGAGTAGTACCATGATCCCCACCATGATTGGTTTCTCTCCGCCATCCGGATTAAGTTCCGAGGGATTGGTTTGCAATTCTTAGTCCACCAATTAGAGGGGCTAGATCGTCTAGTCTAGAGTTGCAATCCTTAACCGAAAGGTTAAGAGAGTTAGACCACTAACTTGATGCAACAATCCTAGAATGGTCAACCAAGAGAGTTAGGGTTTACTCGGTTTGTTCGATCAAGAGATCTAGGTTTGCTAGCTTATTGCGACAATCCTTGATCGATCGACTAGGATAGCTTGTTCCTAACTAGTTGCACCCGTCTCACAGTATATGAACACGTCCTCCACAATAGGTTTTGTTCATTGTTTCTTAGCACGAGACTAGGGGAAGCAATATCCAAGTGAAGTCCTCTCATATAGAATTCTCCTTGATTTACTTTCCTTGTTTGTGTATTGTGTAGTTTTCTTAGTTTTAAACCCTAAACTATTTGCTAGATAATAACCTAAGAAATTGAAGTGGGGGTACATGGACCGGCCCGGGTTTGACAATTAAAACATACTTGCCCTATACTGCACTCGGCTAGAGTTTATGCTTGAGCTCTAGTCGCGATTTAAATCGCGGTGTAGTCCGTGCGAATCATGGCCTTTAAACAATCAAGTATAAGTTTTTTTATTGAAGGGAGGCAAACGTTAGATGAAACTAGTAACAGAGGTTCAAGTGGGGATACAAGTCACCTTCTAAAAGAGGGAGGGACGCTCCCACCCAAGCTCAAACTCAAACGAGAGCAAAAGATAAAACTATGGACACACCCACTGGGCATATAGCTAAACACTACTGCTATCAATCACAACCTGCCTTGGGAAGTTTATCCCAATCATATCTTCACGCAGGAGCCTTTCAAGATCCATCGGTAGTTCATTAAGTTCATACAAGCAAAAGGAATAGACAAGATTGTGCTTCAAGAGCCAGTCCACGACTTTATTCTCTTCGCGATACGTATGTACTAAACAAACTAACCAACTCTGGGCAAGCTCTATGAATTGCATTTAGCAAAGTGGCGAGAGGATGCACCAGGTCTGTTCTTTTGTTAATAAGCTCAATCACCATATTTGAATCGGTTTCGACAATCAGGCATTGAATGCCTTTCTTCCATGCTAGATCAAGGCCATGGTGAATACCCCATAGTTCAGCTTGAATGGCAGAACCAGTATCGACTTTGCAAACAAATCCTCCTAGCCGGTCACTTCCAGTGTCTCTGATGCATCCTCCTACTAGGAGTGTACATGGGTCGATTGGTTCGGATTTAAACATTTTAATCACCCGACCCATGCACTACGGTTTGGGAATTATCAAACCCAAACCCACTCAAAAATATTTAAACAATACGGTTTGTTTCTAATTGGGTTGGGTCGGGTTAGCGATATTTTTAAGTAAAAACTCAACCCAACATAAAATATATAATTATTATACATCATAAAAATATTTTATAACTAATTAAAATTTCAAACAAATAAACCGAGGTGAAAGGTATCAAAATTCACAAATGTTATTTGAATTTTAATAAAATGTGATTTACTTCAACATATGTCTAGTTTTTTTCACGATATTTGTTGAAATAGGCTAAAAAGGTCATAAACAAACGCATCCATAATATATTATTCTATTAAAATTGTACATAAGAAAAATGATTATGTGAATCATAACTATATTCAATTTATGTCTAAACTTTTAGTCGAAGAATGCATTAGATTAGGGAGACCATGATAGGAAAACATGGCGAAATATCTTAATTTTCTCATAAATATGGCTATATACGACATAAATACTTTTAGATACGAACTCATACTAATAGTTGGAAGACGGGTTGGGTCAAATTCTACGGGTTGTGTAATCCAAAATCCAAACCCAACCAAAAAAGATGCGGGTTGTACAAAAGAAAACCCTCACCCAACCCAAAACCTTCTATTTAGCGATCAATACGGGTGGGTTGGATCGGGTTGGACGGGTGGGTCGGTTTGCGGGTGTGTTTGTTCACCCCTACCTCCTACTGTCATGATTCTTGGATTTCCCTGGGCAGCATCGTCAGTGTTAAGCTTGGTCCATCCTGCCGGCGATCGTGTCCATCCTATAAGTTGTTCTTCTCTTGTAGGTTTTGTCAAAAGGTTCCTTGATTTTGTAGCTCTTTTCCAAGTTTTAATCCAGTCTTTAGCTTTTGAAATGATTTAGTTGATGAGTGTAGGGCTGGATATTCTGGTGGATTTGAATATATAATCATTCTTGTGTTTCCAGATATACCAGCAGATAAGAGCAAAGAAACTAGACCATTCCCATGTTTTCTCACTAGCCTCATTATTAGCTATATTTTCCTTCAACCAATCCTCATGGTTCCTGGCCAACAAGCTTGTTGTAGTGGTAATGGAACTACTTTTTCCCAGACTCTTCTGATCTTGTCGCAATCTCTCAAACAGTGGATGTTAGATTTGATATCAGCATTGCAAAGGAGCACTTGTCATTGGAGGTGAGGTGTCTAACTTTCCTTATACACAATCAAGTATACATAACACCAAAGAATTATAACAGGAAACAAATGTCTTTTACTCGATCCCCTCTCTGGTCAAAAGATGAGCATGCCTTCACATTGCAGAATTCTCCATATTGAAAATCATTTATCTGCAAAACATGGAAACAGAAGACAACATCACCAATAAAGTATGTTTGAAGGAAATTATGATCAAATAACTTTGAGAAAGAGTTAGACCAAAAAGCTTCATAAAATTAAATTTAAGATTTAGTATCTAGTAACCTACAAAAATCAGGTAACCTCATATATGTTGTGCTCTAGTATGAACAAAAATCAAAAGGACCGGTGTAATAAGATGGCATAGTAAGTTGATTGCTTCATTTTAAACTCCAAATGTTCACAGCGTTAATTTTTGCACAATTGGTGTGCAATCCAGATTCTATGGCACAAAGGTAAAGACAACCTAGTGGTCTTTAAACAACCAATTAGACATAAAATCCTAAACATCCACCTAAAGTTGGCACACAACATGTTGACCACCATTGGCATGGTAAGTACGTAACTGAAGAAATTATTTAGTATAATCTAATTATATAGAGGTTTGGCTAAATTTCTAAGATAATATAAGATATCAAGGATCAACATAGACATAACTCAACTTCTTATGAATAGTGAACCTAGTAATCTTACCCAATTTCAACAATCAATGTAGCCACTATAGGCGTCAGACTTGTAGGGATTCAAAGGGGCAAATGAGTCTCGATCTTGTCCCATTGCATTCCAAACGTAGTTCTTCCCCATTAGAATCCCTCTAACCCCCCAATTTGTTAGTGGAATGCGGCTTCTCATCTCCCTATGAACTTTGATTAATCGAAACCGATGATGAACGAAGCCGATATACCACAAATCAACACTTGTAGTGTAAGAAAAACCAAGTACATATTATTAATTAACTTATGCATGCAAGATCCACCTTTCCGTGGGCGGACAATATTCCTCTAACCCCTTCAATTTCAGCAATTGGGGACATGGAACTATGGCGATCACAACCAGCATGGTTGCTCCATGACTATCGACGTAAGAGTACTGTAGACATTACTTTTTGTCCGGGTGAAAACATTTTTAATCAAATCAAATGTAGTTTCAATTTAAGGTTTGCAATAGCAAATCTGGAATGACCTCCTAGTATTTGTAGTGTTTGGGTTGCGTCTTTGTTTGCCATGAGTTAATGAGATTAACAATAGCAAATCTCAATTGACACAACCTATTAGTGACGAGTTGACATGCATGTTTAGACAAGTTAGACTTGAGTTCGATGTTGGTTGTCATACGAGTTAACTGATTCGTAAAACATTGGATCTTGTGAGAATTGGGTCGCAATTTCTAGATAATAAAATAGAAGTCATGACAATTTTATTAAGATAAATACAATGCTAAATAACTAAAATCATTATTAAATCCATAATATACAGTGTTAATTTGCTATTATATTAAACTAATTACAACTGTACAATAAAAGGAATTAGGGCCAAATCCAAGCCATCTGTTAGTCAAAGCACAAGAAAAGTCAACTTGGATCAAGCTCAGCAACTAAGTTCAAAGCCAATAATACTTAACACCCAAGCCCATCCAAACTCGGGCCAAGCACAGTCTAGGTCGAACCAAACCGATTCAACCAGACACAGTCCAACCCATTTAGCAACCAAACAAAAAAAATATATATAACACACCCTATAGATGGTGTCCCTAAAGACGCCATCTAGCTACGCTATTTTCCATTTACTCTGGAGGGGCAGGCCAAGATGTGGCTGGACAACCGGCCTCCGGGGTCAATCACCACATTCACCGACTTGGCCAACAAATTCTTGACTAGCTATCATCCTCCTTCTAAAATAGCGGACCTGCAGAAGGAGATTACCCATTTTTCCCAGGAGGAGGATGAGACCATCCGGGATGCTTGGGAGAGATACTCAGGTCTTTTCCTAAAGTGCCCCAACCATGGTTTCAATGACGCCTTCAAGGTGGACACCTTCTATCGATCTCTATTTCTTGAACACAAGCAGCTGATTGACTCGGTCTTTGGCGGTAACATGCTTACCAAGACGCCGCCGCAGTTGAACTCGCTCTATGAAGAAATGGCAGAGCAAGGTTATGATTGGGGGTCTGCTAGGAGGTCTCGACGAGCACCTGGTCGTGGTGTTCATCGTGTGGACACCCAGTCATCTGACTTGGTGCAGGTGGTTACTAAACTGGTCACGACGATCGATAGAAATATAATGGTTCCCGATACAGGGCAGCAACAGGCGATGTATTGCCACTGGTACGAGAGTAGCCACCACCCGATTGAAGTATGCCAGGCAATGAGGGAATCTACTACACCCCAAGATCAGCTGGACTTCAACGGCAGTGCTAGGCGCTTCGACCCATACAACAACGCTTATAACGAGGGGTGGAGCCATCAACCTAACTTCTCTTGGAGTGGTAGCAGTAATCCTAAGCCACTTGGTTTGCAGCGACCCCCCCGGCTTCAAAAGACCGTCGTACCAGGCCCGCCAAGGCCAGTTTTAGCAGCCGCAATAGCCTATTTATCCTCCTAGACAGGGGCAATCTCTTTCTTAACATCCGTCACTACGATTTCAGCAGCCGGGCGCAACCCCATCAGCACCAATATCGCGAGATCTGATGGCCGAGCTGCGCAACATCGTGGGTTCCCTTGCCAACACCAGCGTCTAGAAATTCAACAACATGGAGCGACTCATGGAATAGGCCTCGGGACAGTTCTTGGATCTTGAAGCTCGTTAGAAGTCACTTGAAGCTAGTTAGTAGCCCAAAATGTAACGGCCCGCTCTTTTTCGAAAAACCAAACCATAACTCAAACCAAAAATAGGTTACTCCGGAGCAACCCAAACAAATTTTTAAAATAAATAAACCGACAATGTGTAAGAATTTCAAACAAAAAGCCTGAACACTTGGGCAAATGATAATCCCAATACTTAAAATGAATGAACTCATAATCTCCAGTTTACACTCCTAACCATGTAACAAAGAAATTAAACTATTCTAGCTCTGACTCTTCACGAGTTCCTTGACTTCTCATCAATGCTAGTGCAGCTACTCTGTAACACCCCGATATTTGAGTCTAGGTTCGACCAAACGATTGGATCGACGATTGCATACGAAAGTTCGACCGTAAATTAGAAATAGTAATAATAATAATTTTGTTAACAACAATTATTGTTATTATCATAATCTGCACCCGTCACTTTTCCCCAGCAACATCATAAAAAAATAAAATAACTAAATAACTAAATAAAAGAAATGCCAATATCCGTTACACCATTAACCCCCACCCCAACGTTTTCCATTAAAAACCAATTGTGTTTTATATATATGTTAATTTCTCTCATTGTAACCGGGAGTTCAGAGAAGCAGTAGGAGTCCTATCGCCAGTCTCCGAGTTATTTCCCCTCCCGCTCTCGACCAAGCTGCTCCGCCTGGAAGACTCCTATCCGCTGGCACCAAAAGCAGAGGTGATGATTGGGAGAAGCAGCCACCACCGAGTCCTGATCCAATAAGAGGAGATGGTGGCTCAATTGTGAGGACACAAGAATTGCAACCGGTGGATGTGATCACGAGAGAGGCGGTGCTTACGGCCGTGACTAAGGAGTTGTGAGGGACAAGAGGGATTCCACTGCCCGATCGGCTTAAGTCTCCAACCAAAATAGCTGATGTTATTAACAGAGTCATGGTCCCAAATATCGAGCCGAAGAAGGGTGTGAAAATTGAAACAGATGAGAAAGCAACCAATGGTCCTACCTCGTCAATCGATGATGCAAAAGCTATTGGTGAGTTGGTTTTGAAGTTAGAAACATGAAGGCAGCAACTAGTGACTGGATTCAAGATGGCTCCCATTCAATCTAAGAAGTGATGGCCATGTTATCATTTGGGTAAGTAACGTGTATTGGGGTTTTGCCACAGCTTGTGTGGGTGCATGTCATTAGGCTAATTTTTGCAAGTTAAATAATCATCATCATAAAAGCTACTCATGTGGGACATTGGATTTTCTTTGGACTGGGGGATGTATTGTTTGACGTGATGAGGAGGAGAACAAGAACGAGAAGGAGGCCAAGGTGTATCAATGGTATGTCGAGGCTTAGGCACGAGAAAGAGGTTACTAAAGAGTATTTTGAGCTCCTAAAATTGGCGACTAATTCGAGAAAGCCGACTTGCTAAAGTGAGTGTAAAGGGGGTAATATCCCAGTCGTAGTTCTTTTAGTTTATGTCCTTTAATTCAGTTATGATTGTTATTTTCAAGTAAATGTGATTATGTGTGTGAGGCATCCCACCGCCTACTTAAGGTGGAGGCACGCGTTGTGCTTGTGAATGTGAATGTATGTTATAATGTGTGGATGTATGGTAACTGAACCCCCGGGTGGTTGGGCCACTACTGGACGCGGTAGATGGTCGGGTCACTACTGGACGGCGATACGTAACGCAGTAGTTGACCGGGCATGGATTGGACGGCGATACGTAACGCAGTACCATTTCCTTGAGGATAGGGACACCAGCCGGCGATAAGTAACGCGGTGATTCCCTAGTAATAAGTATATAAGTTAAGGTAGTAGTAGAGAACTTCTATGATTTAAGGATAAAAGTTGAGAACCTCTATGAGTTAAAGTTGAAATGAGTTATTAAGGATGAAAGTGAGATCGACTTTCATCTAAGGAAAGGAAACGTTAATAATGTGTTTTAGTAAGGAGGTTGCTTAGGGCAAGACCTTAGGAAGTAACGATGAGACTGACCCCTTCTCACTCACCAGGTTAAAGAGGGGTTAGCGGAGGCGGATCCCGAGAAGAGGGAGGGCGAGGCAAGCTGCCGCACCAGCAAGGACGAGACCTCAGGGAAAACAGCAAGGAGTTAGAGCTAGATTTAGTTTAATTATTTTGTTCATGATTATGAGTTTATGTACTGGAGATTCAAGGTTCAATATTTGTGTGAAGTTGTTTTAAGTGTTTGAGATTGAGATTTTGCCCAAGTGTTGAGGCTTTTTGTTTAAAATTCTTAAATAATGTCAGTTTGTTATTTTAAAAGTGGGTTGGGTTGCTCCGGAGTAATCGGTTTTTGGTTTGACTTATGGTTTGTTTTTCGAAAAAGATCAGGTCGTTACATACTCGCCTCGCCTTGCCTCTTCTCGAAATCCACCTCTGCTAACCCTTCCTCGACCTGGTGAGTGAGAAGAGGTCAGTCTCGTCGTTACTTCCTAAGGTCTTTTCCCTAGGCAAACTCCTTACTAAACACGTTATTAGGGTTCTTGACTTAGACAAAAGTCGTTCTCTCTTTCATCTTTTATACTTTGTTATCAAACAGTCTATAAGAGATCTCTACTCCTATCTTCTTTTTTTTTTTTTGACAAAAGATAATCTGTATTGATCAAAAAATAGATAACTACATCCTGGATTCCAGCCAGGCCTGATAATCAAAGAAGCGACTCATGGTCGGGTACAAGGAGAGGGCTTTCCTAGCCACCAGATGGGCTACCCTATTACTACGCCGACCTATAAACCGAATCCTAAACTCAGGATGGGTGCGAAAATAATGCACGACCTCTTCCAGAATAACACCCACCCGATTGTCTCTAATGTCCCCTTGATTGATTTTATCGATGATCACCTTTGCATCACCCTCAAATTGAACACTGGTCAAGTTATTCGCCAGACACCATAAAACTGCCTCCCTAAGAACAATCAGCTCCACTGCCATTGGGTCCTCGAGGAGATGCAGCTGGACACCCTTAACCATAAGCACACTCCTAGTAGGGGATAACAAGACTAACCCTCCAGCCGAATGTGACCCAGGCCGAATCGCCCCATCCCACATACAAATGACCCGCTCAGTCTCCTCCAACCTAAGATGAGCCCCCTAAGGGACCGAGGGCCGGAGAGCCTTATCCATTGGAAGCCTTACCCATTCCTCATACTGCTGGTGGAACTGACGCATCAAGGCTGGGAATCCAAACTGTTTGCCTTCAAAGACCACCCAGTTGCGAGACCGCCAAATCCGCCAAAGGATAGCAACCACCGCCATGAACAACGAGGGTTGGTGGATCAAAGCCATCAACTTTTTTAGAAACAACAAGAACGTTTGACGAGGCAACCCCTCTCCCAGATACTCCAGTCCCGAATAATCCCACAGAGCCCTCGCCACCGGGCAATATAGAAATAGATGCTCCATCGTTTCAAGACCCTCCCAACAAACTGGACATCTAGGGAGAACCGGGACACGTTTACTAATAAGGGCCTCAGTAGTTGGCAAGATCCTATTGAGAATCTGCCAGACAAAAACCTTAAGCTTAGGGGGGATATTCGCATCCCACAAACGAATCCAACTGGCCTTATCCATCCAACTGACCGTGGCCTTCCAGCACCCTTGTCTCTTATCCATAGCCACCGCCAGATGGTAGGCCGATTTGACTGAGAACATCCCATCAGGCGTGTCATGCCAAATGAGCCTATCCTTCACATTCCGGCGCGGAAGAGGTATCGCTTGAATGGCCTGACAAGTTTGAGGATCAAACCACTGACTCAGCTTTTGGACATCCCAAAGTCCCTCCCCCTGGCAAATCACCTCCACAACAGGAGGACCCCCCTCCGCAGGAAGTACCACAGGATTATACACCGGGGGATCGAGCTGGAGTTTCGGAACCCAGTTGGAATGCAGTAAAGAAGCAGATTTCCCATTACCAATTTCCCATCTTAAGCCCTTCTCTAATAACTGTCTACCAAACAGTATACTCTGCCATCCCCAAGAAGGGCGAGATCGGGCCGTTGTTAATAAAAATGTCCCATTCGGGAAGTATTTGCCTTTATAGACCTGAGCGAGAAGGGACGGGGGTTCCGAAAGGATGCGCCAGCCAATTTTAGCAAGGAGCACCTGGTTAAATTGTTCAAAACGCCTGAACCCCAACCCCCCCATCATGCTTACTTCGGCACATATTACGCCAGGACATCCACCGAACCCGAGGATGACCCTCAGCATCCCCCCACCAGAATCGCGCCACATGCTTATCCAAAAGACGACAAAGAGAGACAGGCAGCTTGAAACAGGACATCACATGCAGTGGCAGAGCCAGGGCAATTGACTTAATCAGCGTTTCCTTAGCTGCCCAAGATAACGATCTCTGTTTCCACCCCTGGAGATGCTCTAACAGCTTCTCCTCCAAGAACCGGAAAGTCGCCATCTTAGAGCGAGCGAACAGCGTGGGCAAGCCCAGATATTTATCATGGACACCCACCGCCCCCACCCGTAGAACTGCTGCCAAAAACTCCTGGTCCTCCCGCACAATATTCTTACTGAAGCAGACTGCTGATTTATCCAAATTCACCTTCTGGCCGCTCAGCTCCTCATACTCATTCAGGACCACGATCAGGTTCTCACATTCCAGGAGGGTTCCCCACAAAAATAAGTACGAATCATCCGCAAAAAATAAGTGCGAGATCCTGGGAGCCCGAGGAGCCACCTTTACACCCTCCAGCCTCTTCTCTGCAATAGCCTTGCGTAGCAGAGCCGAGAAACCCTCTATAAAAATCACAAAGAGGAGAGGGGAAAGGGGATCGCCTTGTCGTAGCTCTCTAGTAGGGGAAAAGAAACCCGAAGGATCCCCATTCATAAGAACTGAAAAAGATGAAGATCGAACACACTCATGAATCCATCCTTGCCAGACGGAATTAAAACCCATCTTGTCTAAAACTACGAGAAGAAAGGGCCATTCGACCCTGTCATAGGTCTTTTCCATGTCAACCTTAAGAGCCATGTACCCTTTCTTGCCACGCATTTTAATTTTCAAGTAGTGCATCAATTCGTGCCCTAGAAGGATGTTATCCACAATTTGACGTTCCCGAATGAACGCATTTTGACCATCTGAGATGACTTGGGGTAGGATGCAGGCCAACCTCTCCGCCATGATCTTAGTGACAATTTTATAGACAAATTGGCATAAGCTGATCGGCCGTAAATGCCTCATAGTTTCCACACTCTCCACCTTAGGGATCAACGTGAGCCAGGTATGGTTGAAGCCCCGCAGCATCCTACTCGTAGCAAAGAAAGAACAGACTGCATCGATTACCGAGTTACCCACGACATCCCAAAAGGCTTTGAAAAACTTCCCCGTGAATCCATCTGATCCAGGGGCCTGCTTTGACCCCATGGCAAAGACCATTTTACGTACCTCACAGGGAAGCACTTCGGCCGTTAGGGTGGCGTTCATGGTCCGAGTAACAGACTGGGCAATTGGCAACGAGGCCACCCGCTCAGCCATGTTCGCAACTTGATTCTCAGAAGTAAAGAGATGTTGATAAAAGGATGTCGCCACCCCAGCTTTCCCAGTTTCATCTGTGATCCACACCCCATCATCATTCCGGAGACCTTCCACAAAGTTTTTCCTACGTCCGGTCCTGGTCACTATGTGGAAATAAGAAGTATTTTTGTCACCCTTTTTCAGCCAGTGAACCTTGGATTTCTGCTGCCAATACAGTTCCTCCGCCTCCCACTGCCTACTCAATTCCACTTCTAAGTCTCGGACCGCATCCCAGTCAATTGGATGGGAAGCTTTGATCCTCTCAATTTCGCTCTGGAGAGTGTTAATGTTTCGCAAAGTATTGGTAGTCCCAGCCCGACTTCAATCATATAACAGATGACGCAGCTTCTTGAGGCGCTCCCAGAGACAGAACATAGGAGTACCCTGAACCTCCTCTTTCCAGACATAATTAACCATAGCTCTGACCTCAGGATTTTCCGCCCAATGGGCATCAAACCTGAAAAGAGGACGACAACTCCTGGCATAGGGTTTATCCGATAGAAGAAGAGCCCGATGGTCGGAACCCTGATCCGTAAAATGCTTGACCAAACTTTCCGGGAATTGGTCCATCCAGGCTTGGGAGCAGAGGGCCCTATCCAGACGTTCACGGATACAGGCTTCTCCCATCCTCCTATTCGTTCAGGTGAACTGGTCCCCAAGGAACCCGGGATCATGGAGACCCAGCTCTTGAATAAAAACCCGCAGGCTAATAGCTTGAGAAACGTTCCAAGGGTTACCACCATCTTTTTCACTTCCCTGGAGGGTAGTATTAAAATCACCAATAATAACATAGGGAAGGTGGAAGGTAGAGCAGAGCTCTTGAAGCTGAGCCAATTGGGATGCTCTACTTGTGGCATTACAACTAATATAAGCAGAGACCACAATATAAGAAAAATCCATTTCATTGATTTGGGAACAAATACAAAAATTGGAATGATAAAACACCGAAGCATCGACTCCGGGGGACCAACCTAAAACTAACCCACCAGATGCATCAATCGCATCCACAAAATAACAATTGGAAAGAGCAAAACCTAAGCCCCGCATACGTCGGGAGACAACACGCCGACTCGATCGAGTTTCCGAAAAAACACGAGATCCGGTTTATTAGAGCGAACCAAACTGAGCGCAGATTGGAATGTGAGGGATGGTCCAATTCCTCTCACATTCCAGGCCAACATTTTCATTTATCGGACTGGGGCCATTTTAGGCTGGCTTCCTCCACCTGATCCAGATTTTCAGCAACTTCAACAAATTGTTTCTTTGGCGACGGTGCATCCCCCATAACGCCCTCAACCGCCTCGAAAGGGCGCTTTCGCGTCCCAATATCTGGGTTCATTAAATTCGACCCATATTCATCCAGCTTAGAGTCAAACTCTTGAAGCATAACCTGTTCATTTCGAATCGGACTACCATTGCTCATACGCTCCTGCAGGATGGCCTGAGCCCCAGAATTAATGGTAAGTCCAGCTTCAAACGCGACCACAACCTGGCTAACATGCCCCCTTGTGGTAGTATTAGGTTCTTTTAGATGAGCAGGAAGCCTCTTTTTGATTTCAAAGCATTGGGCTTCCTCCTCAAAATCTGAGTCCGCCGAAACAAGGGCCTTCACTACTTCAGCACTAGGGACCGAGGCCAGGGCCTGCCCATCCAGGGCTGAACATCCCACAGGCTTAGCCTGCTCCGACCCAGCTTTGCTCCCCCTCTTCGGGCCGCCTTTACGGTGGGAGGAGTCCCCCACATTAGTCTGGGCTTTCCGCCTATTCCCCTTCTTCACAGGATGGGCCAATTTTTGCAAACGATTAGTTGGGCGCTTCAAAGGAGGGGCCGCACCAATCTCCTGACTAGGCCCACTGTCCGCTGCTGGACGGCCTCCCTAGCCAGCCTCCAATTCCCCCACAGCCAGCTCCTGCACAGGATGGGCCTCGGCTACCTCCTGATTGGGCCTACAATCATTTGTTGGGCATAAACCCTGGCCAGACGCCTTTTCCCCCGCTGGGTTTTGTTTAAGCCCAGCCTGTGGTCTTTCTTTTTGGATGGGACTATTGGCATTATCGATATCCAGGGCATCATCCTCATCGTCAGTCTCGAGGATGAGACGACGACGCCGAGCCTGGGCGAGAACGCCGGTAGCGCAGCCATGTAGCTCAGGTGGACCAGAAGTATGATCATCAGAGAGATTGCGATCGACAACCAAATCACCCTCCTGCAACTTGCCTTGGCGGTTCAATCTTCTACCCCCAATCTGGATCCGTGCTGGTTTGTTAATGGCAAAACCTCTCGGGCTTGCCTTCTTGTTCGGGACTTTTCTCTCGTCTTGGATACCAGTCGGGTTACTTGAAGGACCTGATTCTTCCCTATCCAGCTGAGGAATGACCTCAGCTTTTTGCACAGCCCCCTGCCGCTCTGCCTCACGGCCACGAATATATGTACGATCATTATTAGCAGGACCATTGATCAGGCGATTGACCCAAACCGTTTGCCGAGGGCCCCTGTTTCTCATGGATTCGTCCTCTTCCTCATAGATCTTTCGTCCAAGCTTTTTTGTCGACATATGTGGGCCGAAGCGCTCCTTCCTATTGGGCGGAGCAAAAGTACAATCACGTCGGGCGTGCCCCACTCGACCGCAGTGATAACAGAAGCTAGGGAGATACTCATACTTCAAGTTCACACAAAAGCAGCCAGTCTCGTTGCTAGTCGCCATTAGTTGAGATCGAAGAGGTTTGGCAAAGTCGACGACAGTGGGAACTTTGATAAATCGCTCCCCCGACTCCTTGCAAGCGAAAATGCCAGATTCTAGCACCTGCCCAATAGCCGCTGCCACCATCTTCCGCCCAAAGAGCTTTGTGCAGCAATCATCTTTCACACCCCAGATTTGGAGGCGGAAAGGAGCCGTGGATAGCTCCTCAAAGGTCTTTCGAGAAATCGCGGGCATCCAAGCTCGAATGTTGAGGATTTTATCCTTAATCACCCATGGAGTCCGTTTCAATGCCCAGCTCTTCGCCTCCTCATTAGGCAGCATGAATTCGAATAAATCGTGGTTTGTCTTAGACACCGTCACACGTCCCTTGATTTTCCAGGCATCGACCAGAGCATCTCGCAGCTCTATTGTCGAAATTTGGTCGATGGTGAACAATCGCCCAAGCAGAGTACGTGATGCACGAAGCTTCGTGGAGTGGACCTCATCCAAGGAGAATTGGATCACCTGATCTTCAGTGACATGAACCATCTCTCGTTCCTGACAAGAAGAGGTCGTAGTCAAGCGATGATCATTAATAAAGTTATAAGTATGCAGGCCCATCGAAAGAGGAACATTCGAAAATCGGGCAGGATCCATTTTATCGAACAACGAACAATCAAACGCAGCCATAGAGGAATGGCAGAAGATGGATTGATAATCACTTTTCCCGATACCTGGACTCAATACGGCTGCACAAGGATTAAGGGGGGTTGCTGCCTCGGAAGAACCACGCACACGCTTGTTATTTAGGATGTGGTGGTAAATTAGCCGCAGCAAGGGAGAATAAATACTGAGAAACGCAGCATTAGCTGCTTCTCTTGAGGCTAAAATGACTTTCCACACGTCATTAGCAATTTGAGTTTCAGTAGGAGTAGAAGAGCTACCCCCGCTCAGAATCGAGCAGTTAAGTTTGTTGAGGGGGATAAGTCCACGCGAATCCCTCCCAAAAACCCACGATAAATCAGGATCAAATCGGTTGGCAACAGATTCGGATTTTGCCCCCCGATTTAGACGGCATTTAGGTATCACCTTTGTCGGTGATAACAGCCAGCGGCCGCCGGCAGGGTACCTAGGATGGGGCGTCTTCGAATTTGTCGCCGGCCATTGCAACACCGGACCATGAGCAGCTGCCTCCCACACAAAACGAGGCCATCCCGTTTTGGCACATTGCAGCCCATGGTCCGATCTATTGGTTTGCAACCTACTAACACAATTAGCAAAATGGGTAACCGGCGAATCCTCCTCACCCCCATCAGCTGCAGGTGGGAGCCAGAATCGCCATCCCTTCAACGGCAGGAATCTGCCTCTTTTTCCATGGGCGTCCACAGGGGAGTCCTCGCTCCCCTAACCATCGCCTCTTTTCCGTTTCCGCCGACCCATTTCTGCTTTGCATGTCGTCGAGGTGGGCCTTCGAAGGCAATCCGACTTTCTGCCAAGCGGCGTGCTCGGATGCCCTGCGCATCGTCTTGTAGAATGACACCAGGTCGATTTCTGATTTTGAAAGCTAGCCAAGAGCCAAGAAGAGATAACTTGCACTAGCCATTCCCCTACCCAGGACGAAAACTCAAGGAGAGAGGAGAGAGCTCCTTTCGCCATTTTTTTTTGTTTTTTAATATGTGTGGGTTAGTTGTTATTTTTTTTAATTTTTTTTATCTTTAGAATTTCCTTACTTATATTCTTAATCCATAGACACCAACACTAGGGACCACCGCGTTACGTCTCCTCGTCCAGTTGCATACCCAAACTCGGCAATGGCATTGCGTTACGTCTCGCCGTCCAGTAGTGACCCCAACAAACACGATCAACTGTTGTGTTACGTCTCGCCGTCCAGTAGTGATTCGACCATCTACTGACAGTAGTGGGCTAACCGTCCGGGGGTTCATCCTACCACTAACCAACTATTACAATCATACATTCATACATAGCACAACGCGTGCCTCCACCCTTATAGGCGGTGGGATGCCTCACACACATATTGCGCATTACTCAAAAATCAACTAATTAATAACTTGAACGAAAAAGCATAAACTAAAAGACCTACGACAGAGATTTTACCCCCTTTACACTCACATCGAAAAGATGACTCCTCGATTCCTTCCTCGAAGAAACCCCTCCTTAGCCGGATTATCTTGGGGAAACCTATTAATAAGAATCCATTTTCTTAGACGACTTTTCTCGATTTAAAACTCCTTTTTAATCACTAGAACATCCTCTCCTCGGAATCCAGCCCTCAAACCTTGCTCCAAAGGTCCCTTAACCCCCTTTAAAAATTTTCTAGAAATAATCCCTTCAAAACCGACCATTTTTCCTAATTATTTTTGTCTTGGACAAACTTTTCACCTAACTTGAACTTTCTTAAAAATTCTTATAATAATTTTCATATGTCAATCATGAGCACCAATACCCTTTAAAATTGTCAAACCCTTCAAATCCCCTTGGTAAGATGCTTATTTAATTAAAATAAATATTCAAACAATTTATAAAAATTGATATACATCTTCAAAAATCCCCAAATTAAATTACAACCATCTACTAGACCACCCTCAATTTATAAAATTGTTAAATCTAGGAACAAACACCCACAGAGGCTCGAAACAATTTAAAACATCCAAAATAAGTTTCTGCAAATTTCCAGCAGCTTTAGTGACTACCCAAAACCTGTCACTAAAAGCCTGTAACGTCTGTTGCTAAAAACCCAGAATTGCACCCTCACGTAAAATCACCAAATCGATCGATCTAACTCAAAGGGATCGAGTTCCCTTACCTCTAGAACGTGCCTAGGACTAGATTGGATGGCCCGAGATGTTGATCTCCTCGTTGGTCGATGATCGAACCCTCAAACGTCACCGCTAATAAAATATGAGTTTCAGATTAGACTATCGATGAATCGAGTTTAGAAATCGCGAAAGGGTTCGTGATCCTTACCTAGAAATACGAAAGGGATGGGATCGGGGTCGGGAAATCAGGATCGACAGTGGAGAGCAGGCGCTGCCTTTTTTTTTACCCTCTTATTCCTTCTCTGCTGTGCGGCTGCTACCGAAGGGTTTGGGGTTTTGCCCCTTTTTTTTCTCCTCTGGGACGTTGTGGCTGGGAAATAATTAGGGTGGGGGTGAATTAATAATTGAGATGTGGGGGGAGTGGAGGTGCCAACCACTTTGGACGCCCCACTATTAGATTTCTTTAAAAAAACAATGTAATAATAATAATATTATTATTCTTAATCCGGGGTTGTAACTCTTAGTACGCAACCGTCAATCCAACCGATCACATATTAAGGTTGAACCTAAACCCAAAGGTCGAAACATCCAACTCCAGCTTGGAAATGTCCATAAAGCTGTGGCGCAGAGGGCTCCAGCTACATTACCTGGTCATACCATTCCTAATCCCAAAGACCCCAGAGACTTGGATGCCCACTATAGTGCCATTACCACCATGAGCAAGAAGGTGACTGCAGATATTCTCGTCAAGACCAAGCGAGAGGAAGAAAGACCTACTTCAGCACTTCTAGCAGATGAGGAATAAATGGAGAAGGAGGTTGAGGTGGCTGCTCCCAAGCCACAACCAATAGTGAAGGAGTAGGTACCTCAACTTCCCTTTCCTACTCAGTTTCACAAAGACCAAATGGAGACTAAGTTTTCCAAGTTCACGGCAATGCCGAAGCAGGTGAATATGTGTTAGGGTTATCCTCTAAGGTACTAGGGATTAAATCCCCCAAACACTATATTAGGTTTTTAGTGTAGATGTAATTTTGTTAGGGTTTGTGTAGGTATATGTTGGTTTTAGTGAATTTATGCTTCATTGATGCTTATTTATGCTTGGGTAGGTCGCCCAACTCTCCCGTTTAGTATTGTTGCTTGTTTTTGTTTCCTGTTGTGTTTTACGAAATTTGGAAAACCAAGAAAAAAAAATCGTGTTTAGTTGGGTTTTTATTTTTTGTTGTGAATCAGAGTTGCACAACAAAGCCCAAATATGAGAAACAACAATTTATAGCTTTGGATCTGATTCTTAAACATGTTGCACATGGGATTCTTACTGGTTGGGCGCTTGATTTCATTAAAACAGACCAGTTTTCGAATCCCCACAAAAACAATTTTTTTTTAACACATCCGCCCCCCGAAAACCCTACTTCAACATATCAAAATCAGCCGCCCTATACCATTTTCCATCTTCTTCTCGAGACCCATCAGACTGCCGCCCCCAACCCTCTTCTTCTCGCAGGTCGCGCGACCCTCCGGCCGCCCAGCGCCGCCCAGCCGCCTCGCCTCCGCCCGCCGCAGCCCGCGCAACCGTCGCCGCCACCTTGCCTCCGCCGCAGTCCACCGGCCGCCGACCATCTCCCCGCAGCAGGTAACTTCGACTTCTTAAATGTATTATGTTAATCTATACTTTCTGAATATGTTCTTGAATTATGGTATGTATGTAGTGATTGCTAGATTAGTTATTTGTGAATTTGGATTGATTGCTATGTTCTTTGTGAATTTGGATTGATTGTTATGTTCTTTGTTTTGTGGTTTACCTCAGTTATGGAGAAAATTGTTGAAAATGGTGATGTTGATTGTGTGGAGATTCAGAAAAATGATAATGGGGAGAGGGATGATAGCAAAATATGGGGTGATAAAGCTGAATCTGTGTTCATTGATCTTTTGGTGGAAGAAGTTAAAAAGGGAAATCGTTTAACTTCAACCTTTTCACCAACTGGATTCGCCAATCTCATTGCTGGTTTGAAAGAGCGGTTGAAAAGAGATTATACTAAGACTCAAGTGAAGAATAAGTTTAATGGGTTAAGGAGTAGACTCAGATCTTTCAAGACATTGCTTAGTCATACTGGAGTGGGATATGAAGCTTCAACTGGTTTTGTTAGTGCAGAAGAACATGTTTGGGAAAGTGTTGTCAAGGTAATAAATCAATCTCTTTTCAATAATAATTTCACTAATTAAAATGAATGTTAAAAACTCATTTTACTTAATTTGAGATGATTTTATTAATGAGTGTAGGGTTCAAAGTTGCATCTTAGATTCCGAAAGCATGGATGTTCTGAATATGACAAGTTGTGCTACATATTTAGTGACACTACTGCTTCTGGAAAT